CACACGAGCACCACCGTCAATCCACCATTGAAGCATTGCCCCAGGTATGTCATCTCTCTATTTCGCCCTCTCTCTATCTTTCGGTCTCTCTTCCCCTAATTTCAGCCTCTAGGGTTTTCTTCTTCCATTTGCATACCTTCACACATACCCGACCCCAAATCGATGGGGTTTCTTCTTCTTCCATTTGTTGAATTTATGCTTTTCTTCGTAACTACGATGGCTCAGAAGCAGTTTGAAACAATGCCTCTCTCAGTCCAGAACACCATCTGGGTATCTCTCAAAAGACACAAATCCAGATGGGTTCTTCTATTTTCTCAATAGCTTTGTATGTGTAGGTCAAATTAACATGAAATGGATTTGATTCTTAGCTGTGACTCTGCTTTTTAGTAGTTATTCATTCTGTTTTAATATGATTTTTATTGGATTGGTTTGGAATGGTGTTTTCTCTGTTTGTGTTGGTGTGTATACATAGTGTGTATATATAAATCTGTAGTATGTATGATTTAAAATCTGTTTGTATATATAAAATCTGTTTGTGTGTATATATAAATTTGGTTGTATAATTCTGTTTGTATATATATAAATATGTTTATATATATGAATTTTGTCATAAACAGGCCTGAAGGAATATATAAAATATGTCTATATATATAAAATATGAGACTCTCATCTGTATATATAAAATATATAAAATATGTTTATTTATATAAATCTCATCTGTACTTTTATAATAATTCTATTTAATTGCATTTTCTTGAACAGGCCTAAAGGAATTGAGACTCTTTGTTCAGATCTGCAAGTAGACCATACTGATGTCAGGATATTGATGCTTGCCTTGTAAGTTTCTTTTGTAGTCAGTAAGACTTCCCAAGTTATTAATCTTTAAAACAATATAATTGATGGACTACTCATTTCAGGAAGATGAAAGCTGAAAAACAAGGATACTTTACCCTGGTAAGTAGAACAGTTCTGATATACACATTGAATATAATAATCCTATTTGTTGAACCTACTTCCTAGTGCTATTGTCATATACCCAAATCTGCAACTCCAGCAGTCTATCCGTCATCTAAATCTTCAATATGCCATGTTCTTGAAAATCCAACCACGAAAATGTCAATGTTTGACTTCAAAGCATTGACTTGGTTTTCATTAAAAAGATGTTGATTTTTTTTTTTTTTTTGGGGGTGATAAATTTGGGGTAAATTACACCAAGACCTGAGCTATGACTCTGTTTCACTTAATCCCCTTCACCTGAAAAACATGACAGCTTGTATACATTTTCCTTTTTGTTTGCCGCCGTCAACCCCTCATAAATACACCATATTTTTATATATGTATTGTGACGGAGAAGATATTACCAGCACACTGTAAGTTCTTGCTCTTCACAGCTCTGCTTTTGTGAACTTAGGAACACTAATGTCTCGTTGTTTTGTAAATTCTATGATCACCATGTTTGCTGATTTGCCTTGGGTTTTATAACTATAGCTGTTATTTTTCCCATTACTATTATGTGCACTTGCATAGGACAAATTAGGACCACTCAATATGAGTCAAAATCTTGTTTGAACCTCGTTCCCATCGAGATAGAATTCGATTTCAACTGGGATGGGACCACTCAAACATATGAATTTGGTTCTCTTTTTAGGAATTAAAGGATTGAGATTTTTTTATGGATATTTCAGTTTGGACTTGTGAGGATTGAAGAGTAAAGATATATGTTATTGGTGATGAATTGTTACTTTTGTAATAAGAATTTACTATATTTATGAGTTTAAGTGAATTTACTATATCTATGAGTTTAAGTGCTAGTACAATGTTTGTGAATTTACCTTTCTAATATGTCTGTTATACAATAGGAATAATAATGGGATCCTCTTATGTTAGCTGGGGACTTGGATTCCTTGTATAAGTATATTTGTATAGATTTGGCTTCTATTCGGTGAAATAGATTGTAAAGGTTTGCCTGGAAAATTTAAGAAGGGTTTTTTTCCCCATTGGTTTTGCACAAAATTTAGAGTTGGATTTGACATAAAGGCAAATATTCATTATCTTTTTGTTGGAAGTTAACTTTCTCTATCTTTGTCGCTCTCGCTACAGTGGTTGTAGTAGGTGAATATACTCACAAGGAAATGAATGTGTATATAATATATATTTCTAAGAATTTTTTTCCCCACTATTATAATGTTGTTGTGAACTCAGTGCTTGGTGGGCCATTAAGTCAAACTTCATCAATTTAGAAGAAAACTAGATAAATAGTGTCCTAGTACAAAATTTTTAATGTTCAACTACTGTTGAGTCATATTTTATTCTTTTTTTTTCTTTTTTTTTTCTTTTTCTGCTAGGCCACAATGGGAAGGGCCTCATCTCACAAGACCTATTTGAGGTGGTGGAGCTTTTCATT